CCCATCTAGCTATTCTGGATCGGGGCACAGTACATGTATTTACACAGATAATCATGTACTCGCGTGAACGATGTACTCGACTTCTCAATATGAACGCTAATCAGGCTTGGTAACCGCGAGTGGTGTTTTACAATGGGAGTTCAGTTGTAATCGATATCAATAACAGCCAGGCCTCAAGGTGTTACACGCACGTTGCGACCACAACCTGGCACCCGCGCGAAAATGCTGGGGTCTGTCTGTCTGCCTTGGGGGTAGGACGGTCTTAGAGTGGTTATGTTACGTTTTTATTGTACTTGTTGTTGGAGGTGGTGTTGGGGGTGGTGGGGGTGGTGGAGGTGGAGATGGACGGGGACGGCAAAAAGGATGATGATGATGATGATGATGATGATGATGATGATGATGATGATGATGATGATGATGTGATGATGATGATGATGATGATGGTTGTTTTTATTTCTATCACGTTCCTGAAGAAGCCCATTATGACGAACCGTTTAACATAGTATTTTATAGTGTTATAAATATTCAAATAGGCCTACTCAAGTCTCCACCAATCTTTCATAGAAATACGGTGGTTAAAAAAAAGGAATGTGGCACAATGAAGATGATGTATCGCGGATTTTCATGGGGCTGCCGTAAAACGGGGACGCAATCAATTGTGAGATTCTGAACGCCCGTGTTAACAACGTATTTAGACATTGTTATTGAAGTAATTTTAAAAAGTGAACCAAGGTCACGCAACAACAAATAAATGAAAATTTGCAATTCCCAAAGAAATTCAAGCTTTGGATGGAAACCACCAAGCCGCCGTTTGCGCATTTATGTTGTCTCCGACACTAGGCGACCCAAACATCCACCAATCGCAAACATAATTTTGACATTTATTATTTAAGATAGACGGGTGTCTTTTTGTTTAATGAAAAGCAAAGCAGATTAATAGACTGTAAGGTCACATTAATAACTCCGTACGCCCCCCAAACTGACCAGCGCCTGATTCCATTCCACTGTGTCGTGATTCATAAAGTTTTGCAATTCGGACACTATTTTGCCGTAGTGCTGGATGGATATGTTCCCGATTATCGAAAGCTAGGTATCGTAGGAATCGACTCCGAACCCAATTACTTACTTTCTAACGTTTTTTGTTTTTTTCGGTGGTAACCTGGTTGGCTCCGAACATCTTCAGGATTTAGGATAACCTTGATTTCGGAACACTGCGAAGCATCAAATTCTATTTTTCAAAAATAAATTATTCTTTAAAAAAAAAAAAAAAAAAG